AACGGAATGAATGTTATTAACACTTAAAAGTACCTATATCGGTATCTAATATTTTGAAAAGGCAAATGCCCCGGGAAAGTTTCCTACTATGTAAAACTAACGTAGGCAAACGTCCCGGAGAAGTTGACTTTTTATGTTTAATACAATTCAATACAATTAAACAATTTAATACAATTTTTTAAAATATAATGACCCCCGAAAAAAAACCCTCTTCCCGGGAAATCTTCCCTTTTCAGTAGCATATATTAAGATATGAAATAAAAAATCGTTTCCTTATATATAATCTGGTTATCTCACCCGCGGCAGATAACCATATTATATATAGAGAGAGCGAAACTATTTCAATACATGTACTTTATAATGCTTCTATAAGGGAAGATTTCCCGGGAAGAGGGTTTTCTTCGGGGGTCATTATATTTTAAAGAATAGGGCTCGGCATTGTTTTGGGGAAAGTGTCTGAAAATAATTTCTTACGGAATGAATCGTATTTAATATAAAAAGTCAACTTCCCCGGGACGTTTGCCTTCGCTTATTTACCTTTGTAGGCAATTCACCCGGGGCATTTGCCTTTTTAGTATATAAAAAATTATATTACATGAATTTGACGTATATCTATTTCAATAAAATAACCAAAGGAGTCATTTTTCAATTAGTTTCAGTGATGGTTTCCATGAAATTCAAATGCCCCCAGGGGGAAATGCACGGGTATTGCCGAATTTGTTATGATCATTGCATTTCCGTTTAGATAAAAAATATGACGTAACGCGGCGTCTTAAGCCGCGCCAAACGTTAACGTTATATTTGGAAACAAAAATATCAGTAAATAAGAAAACGATATTATGTGAATTAAATAGACGTAAGAAAGGGAAAAATGTAACTATATAACAAAAATATAATGTTAAATCTTAATAAATTCAAAGAAGAATTTAATAACTTTAATAAAACCATTAAACTTGACAACAAAGATTTTTAGTCTTGTGAATACTTTAAATCTACAGCAAAATAAATTAGAAATAAATAATTAAATAAATAACTAGTATAGAATTATGAGTATTTATTAACAACTGTTCAATTTGATACGTGGACAATCTCTTACAGTGTATCATCATTATTTATAAGGTGATTAGAGGCAGAACAATTCTTAATCTAAATTACAAATATTGAATCCCCTAGCCTGTAACATTCAGCTGATAGCATCACATCAAATATAGGCTATAACTTACTTTTTTTTAAAATTTACGATGGCTTAAATAGTCATAGGAAATGTTTAAAGCAGTGCGTGCGCACTCGATCACACTAAAGCATTACGTGGACATGCGGTAGCTATAATGTGCGCACGTAAAATTCATTCCGTACCACGAAATGCGTTTAAAATTAAAAAAAAAATCCTAGGATTTCAAACACAGAATAATTAGCACCAACTATTTATTACATAAACATAATTTTTTTAACCTTCTTTGTATCTTTTGTTGATAAACTGAAATCGGTTTGTAGTTTTAAGGCCATCATTAAAGATATCATAAAATTTCCAGATCAAGATGTCGCCTCTGTCTAGGACAAGCGATCAATGTCTGCAAATTCAAGCTTGTTATTTAGACTTTACCTGTTTTACCTTAAAATTGATTAAAATGATTAAACACCATACATATCCGAATTGAATAATTGCTAAAAATTTCCTTATCTGCTAAACATGGTAAATAGTATTTATACCAAATGCATTTATAATGCCACTATTTTTTTGTCGATACTATTTTTACAAGTTCCCCAATATTTCAATTGACATTATTATCCGTTTCGACTGACGGCGTTTTTATAAGGGAGGTAACTGCTTAATGTTTATACAATGACTTTTTTATACAATGTTACTTTTTTAATTCCGCAAGCGTTAGAAGTCCGTATGGGTAGTAACGATTTAAGATTTGAATGCAATAGAATTGACAAACATTTACAGCATTTTCAGGAATATGCCATTGACAAAATCAATTTTATAAAATACAGGGTTTTATAATAAAGCTCAGGGTTTTATACTATATGCCTTTTTGTATAATAAGTAAAGTAACTATTTGCCGTGATTCAAGTGAATTACGTTTTCTAAAAATTAAACTCACCTCAATTCTCTTAAAACTTAAATAAAATGATTAATGTTTTAATCGTACATAAGAACAATTTTAAGCGATGATAAGGTAAGGACGAATTTACTCAATCGAATACTTTAAGGCCCCTCAGCTACATTTTAATTTCAAAAATTCTTAAAATTTATTGTACGAGTATTAGTCACTTCTTGATTTTAGTTTGTTTTAAAAAGGAATCTATGCAATCGAAGAAAACAAAGTTGTAGAAGATACAAAGAATTTTATTGTGGTCTATAGATACAAGATATCAACATCTGTATGCGTCAAAATGATAATAATCAAAACGTGTATGCATATATATATATATACCTTTGACTGGACTTTCTTCATTAAGTTGTACTTCTTCTACAGCATATTATAAAATTTTCTAGCTAACTAAAGCTTATTAATCTTGACAACAAAGATTTTTAGTCTTGTGAATACTTTAAATCTACAGCAAAATAAATTAGAAATAAATAATTAAATAAATAACTAGTATAGAATTATGAGTATTTATTAACAACTGTTCAATTTGATACGTGGACAATCTCTTACAGTGTATCATCATTATTTATAAGGTGATTAGAGGCAGAACAATTCTTAATCTAAATTACAAATATTGAATCCCCTAGCCTGTAACATTCAGCTGATAGCATCACATCAAATATAGGCTATAACTTACTTTTTTTTAAAATTTACGATGGCTTAAATAGTCATAGGAAATGTTTAAAGCAGTGCGTGCGCACTCGATCACACTAAAGCATTACGTGGACATGCGGTAGCTATAATGTGCGCACGTAAAATTCATTCCGTACCACGAAATGCGTTTAAAATTAAAAAAAAATCCTAGGATTTCAAACACAGAATAATTAGCACCAACTATTTATTACATAAACATAATTTTTTTAACCTTCTTTGTATCTTTTGTTGATAAACTGAAATCGGTTTGTAGTTTTAAGGCCATCATTAAAGATATCATAAAATTTCCAGATCAAGATGTCGCCTCTGTCTAGGACAAGCGATCAATGTCTGCAAATTCAAGCTTGTTATTTAGACTTTACCTGTTTTACCTTAAAATTGATTAAAATGATTAAACACCATACATATCCGAATTGAATAATTGCTAAAAATTTCCTTATCTGCTAAACATGGTAAATAGTATTTATACCAAATGCATTTATAATGCCACTATTTTTTTGTCGATACTATTTTTACAAGTTCCCCAATATTTCAATTGACTTTATTATCCGTTTCGACTGACGGCGTTTTTATAAGGGAGGTAACTGCTTAATGTTTATACAATGACTTTTTTATACAATGTTACTTTTTTAATTCCGCAAGCGTTAGAAGTCCGTATGGGTAGTAACGATTTAAGATTTGAATGCAATAGAATTGACAAACATTTACAGCATTTTCAGGAATATGCCATTGATCATTACAAACTGTATTTCATTTTTGCTTCTGCTTTTACTTTTTATTACAACAAGGATGAATTTGTTGATCAAGATAAAATCGTTGTTTTTCATCAGAATTTATTTATGCTCGTGTGGTTAATTTGTAAATCCGTTCGAATTCGTATGAGAGTTATTAAGAAAATTCTGATACATGTACTACAAGAACAACAGAAAAAAGAACACGTGTTATATTCAATCATTCAAAGAAGTTTTCATCATTAAACATTTCTTCACATATTAAATGCACAGAGAAGACCACATTGGATTTACCAAAATCTACACTGTACAATTCTTTTCCAAACGCATTCCGTGATAAAGAAATGATGTCCAGTTTTGTCTTTTTTCAAATTTAAGAACAGCAAATGTCGCGCGGACTTTGATCATTAGTATAGGGAAGGAGTCTTGCTAATACCAGTTGTTCAGCATCAAAAGCCTTCTTCATTAAGTCACATACATCAAGTCCGTCAGACACTACAGACAAATCTTATTTTGGACAGCCTGGAAATCATTGCGAAAAGTTTGGACCACCCCATTTAGAATTTCGATACTCTATTGATCCCAAAGTAGGTATGAACTTCATTATGTATCCTCCTTACAAACATCGTGTTTTATATAGCTGCGTAGCCGTTGTAGTTTTTCACTTCTGCTACTGATTAAAATGCCCAGAAAATACCCAATGTTTATGACCGCGCTTGATGTAAAGAAAGTGTACGCTTGTTTTTATTTTTCTATACAAAATGTTGCATTTCGTACAAATCGTAAGTATCAGAACTTTGTCCAATTATATGCATAACAAAGCTTTTTCATCGCGTTTTATCCAAATGGAATTTTTGAGATCATGATTTTTATGACTCTCCCTTATTAAAAAATACGACCAATTACAAATATGAAAAGCCTTGCAATGAATTAAGGGGGAGGCCCTTTGTAATAGCACTTTATATCTAATTTGAAATTATCTTACTTTTGTAAACTAGGAATGTTATTATGATAAAGTAATTCTTCTTCATCATTGTTCTATCGTGCATTCATTATACAGATTATTCAGAAACGTTTCTCTTTTGTGTTTGACAAAATCAATTTTATAAAATACAGGGTTTTATAATAAAGCTCAGGGTTTTATACTATATGCCTTTTTGTATAATAAGTAAAGTAACTATTTGCCGTGATTCAAGTGAATTACGTTTTCTAAAAATTAAACTCACCTCAATTCTCTTAAAACTTAAATAAAATGATTAATGTTTTAATCGTACATAAGAACAATTTTAAGCGATGATAAGGTAAGGACGAATTTACTCAATCGAATACTTTAAGGCCCCTCAGCTACATTTTAATTTCAAAAATTCTTAAAATTTATTGTACGAGTATTAGTCACTTCTTGATTTTAGTTTGTTTTAAAAAGGAATCTATGCAATCGAAGAAAACAAAGTTGTAGAAGATACAAAGAATTTTATTGTGGTCTATAGATACAAGATATCAACATCTGTATGCGTCAAAATGATAATAATCAAAACGTGTATGCATATATATATATACCTTTGACTGGACTTTCTTCATTAAGATGTACTTCTTCTACAGCATATTATAAAATTTTCTAGCTAACTAAAGCTTATTATCATTTGTTTATTCTTTTTTCTCTCATTTTTTTAATTTTACGCAACAGGACAGAAACTTTTAAGTTAAAGTTTTGAATAACTTTGCCAAAATCAAATTTGTTGTTAACTATTTACTTGTATATTTTTCTATCATATTTTGAATAACAGACAATTTATAACAGTCTAAAGGTAAGTGTGCATAAAAAGACAAAGACAGCATTTCAAAATAAACAGTTAATGACACAACAGCAATTAAGAATCTTATCAAATTATTAATATGTTACAATATATCTATCTTTAGTATATTATACATATACTGTACTGAAAAGGTAAGTTGATCTAAATTTTGCTTTTACCTTGTTGTACCTTTGGCTTCTGAACAACATATTCTGTATTTATGAAAGAATGACTGGAATTTAAATGACTGAGTCATGATTTTAAAAGCGTGATTTATTAACTACAATATGAAATATAAAGTGGCTTCTATCTACGGAATATTAAGTTTTTCGAGTCGCTATCTTAAACAATTATACCAATTTGAGATATCAATCATCCCACACTACAATGTAGTAAATTACATGGCCTCAGACAGCTACTTCAACAGAATTATGCTATTAAAATATAGACAAAAATAGCTTCAATTTACTTAGATTTCATTAGATATATCAGAAATTAAAATTATAACTGTGAAGAAATATAAGTCATGAATGACAAATGAATATAAAGATTTTACAAAAGAGGTCACATAATATAATGTGCTATGAAAAGCTACTTTAAAGAAATTTAAACATCAACATAGATAAAACTTCCATATTATTGAAGTTGAAATTTTTGAACACCTCTTCCGCCATAAGAAAATATGTCGTAAATTGCTTTTAGATGTTTCTTTTCTTTATCATATCTATGGATGCGATGAAGGTTTTAAAATTCAGCACAGATAATTGTCCAATGGAAGCCATTCATGAATTAGATTAATCGTTGTACAGGTAATATTTACATGTAGCAAAACAAAGTATAACATTTCTTCAAGTTGTTTTATAAAACCGATCAAACATCAGATAAAAAACATTTAAATGGAATTTGACACATAATACTTATCAGTTAAGGGTGGTTTTATAGTACAAGCACATGACATCATAACTCCTAAATCAATGAATGAATAATATGACAAATATTTATGATATGTTAAATATAAAAGGAGATAACAACATCTTATCATAAGGCTTCATGGAAACACTCTTTATTAATGAATTATGGTAGTTGAACTCTAACTGTATTTAAAGCAAATTAAAGAGTTGAGTCTTTACTAAAGATTGTTTTTTTTATTTTTACAGGAAACGTTATCATTAAGAAACAGAAAATAACGTTCTGCTAAGAAACAACACAAGCTAAACAATTGATTCTCTTAAAATGTTTAAAGTGTGTATTAATATGTTTACTAGTATACATTTTATTTGTCTCTTTGGTCCTACACATTATAAATGCTAAAATTATTTGTAACGGTTCAAAAAATTAATATGGTTACTACTTTCTTTTGTCTGGGATTCATTAATGTTCATATTACTTGTGATACATTTGATTCAAACTGTTAACATTTGTATTATGTTTATATCTGTTTTGTAGTTAATTATTCTACGGTATATAGCATTAAATGATATTTAAAATGATATATATAATATTATTAAACTAAAATGTAAACAGAAATCTGTAAAAGGGATGGTCCCTTAGAAGTATTGTACCAAAAACAAATGATACGAAATTGCAGACTTGGTTTGATTGAGTCTGTTCATAAGAGAGATGTAAAGGCGCAATATCCCTCATGCTCCCTAGCACAGGCTTAAGCGGTATGCAGTCTTTAACACTAACGTAAATTTCGTAATAGCGTAATATTACAGCAAGTATTGTTCAGATTGTTATAAAACAAACTGTTACTGTCTATCCGAGAAAATCAATTGTTGAGTGCGTTTCTTTGCCCGTTTTCAGTTCTTTAGCTGAAACAGCGATTTCTGTACAACTAAATGAAAGTGCTACTTCAATTTTCCGGTCAAGTTCACCATCATCTGTTAAATCTACAATCATTTTCCCAACGAAATGACAGTCTTGGTCCGTATATTCCGGGTTTGTTTTCTCAGAAGCAAAAACTGATATGTTAATTTGTTTTTGTGTCTTTTGCATAGGAGTATAAACTCTCCAAACCTTTGTCTCACCAACATTGACTACCTTATCTTTCTCAACATGCTTGTCAAATATATCATTACATTTGTCACCATCATCTGTTTGCACTAGTTTGCTCTCTGGGTGCTTTCCCTTTAAAAACTTTTCTGCCACTCGCACGCCATATGTGTATTTTAAGATACGTGTTGACATAATTGTCGGAATGTAGCCAAATATTACCGCTCCTCTCATAACGGTGTATGAGGTTTCTTCCGGGACAACAATCTCAATTTCAGGAAAATTGGTTTTCACGGCTTCTTGGAGCATAATAGACTCTGAGTATCCACCAACCATTAGAATTGCTGAAACATTTTTACTCACAAGTATATTTCTAACAAACGGTATGATACAGTTTATAGAATTTTTGAAGAATGACTTCATCATATTTGCAGAGATTGTCATTTTGTTGAAGTTTTTTATCTTGATATCTTTTGCATAGGGTGTTTTGGAAACAGATTTCGCTAAATCTTCGTGTGTTGTGCCTTTGAATTCATTCATAAGAGAAAGAGGGATGGTAAATCCGGTTGTCCGATTGCTTGTTGGTGCAATTAGTGCCTTTCTTACTTCAAAGTCTCTACAAAGGTCGAGGTATTCTTCCATGTTTTCCTTCTTGAATCGTTGAAAGATCTGTCTACCTACCAATTCAAGAAGTACAGTTTCAAATTCCTTGTCAACAGATGTGCCACCCCAATCTCCCCCACAGGCAGCATGTACTTCTTTTATTTTACCATTCTCACAGACTTCGTGGATTGTTATATCAACTGTTCCACCTAAAATGACACACATGAAATATATGAGATTACAATTGGAACTTTGTTCACTACTAATTTTCCTTTCTCTAAAAAGCCTGATACAGTCATGGTATTTGGAATGATGATTGTGGGCGCAATACCAACCTTAATAGGTAGATTTTCCATTTTCTACACGATATAAGCTTTGTCGTTTTATTATCTAATCCAAATTACACAGACGTTGAATCAATAGGGGAATTTGGTTCTTTCAATGTCTTCATGTACTTTGTCTAATAACTATTTGGCCACCTTTTACGCTTAGCGAGACCGAAATTATACTTAACGTGCCGTATTGATGTCCACTCGTGTGTTATTTACATGTTTTTTGTTTGTTTTTGTTTTTCACAAAAATTACCTAAAGGATGATAAAAAGCAAGATTACGCCCTTTTTATTACTTATCTCAATATTTTGTTTTCTTTTGTATGTTTGCTTTTACGGCGTTCAAAGGCAATTAAGTCATATGGCACCAAAACAGGAAAGACAATTTTATGCAACACCAGGAGTCAAAAACACCTCACCTGCTGGAGCTCAGAGATGCATCTAATGACACCTTATAAGAAGGGGCGCGGGACTAAGTGTAGTTTATTAAACTTTGCCCCGCGCCCACGCTAAATAGCGTGTGTAGGCTCCGCGCTCCTGCCGTTTAATTTCTTAAATCTCGCTCCGCGCCCCGCTATTTTGACTGTTAATTCTCGATTTTTGCTTGTTGTGGTTGCGGGATGAAAACACTAATGGCACAAATCAGCCACCATACTTAAGGAAATAAACAATACATTATTTTTTGCAGCAGATACATGGCGGTCTGTATAGATTAGTATACTTTTACAAACACTCCGACAAGGATAATGCCATTCTGGGATTATTTTAAGAATATTTCCCTACCTATATGCTATGCACAAGGAACACAAGCGCATAACCTATTTACACACGTGCTGTTCCATGTGTTGTTACTTAAAAATAAACGGGAAAGCGAATAAAGGGGCGTCCGTGGCCGTGCCGCTGTGGGTTCGAATCCCGACAGGGACTTTGAATTCGTTCATATGAGGAAGTTATCCAACTAGCTTACGGAACGTCGGTGGTTCTACTCAGGTTCCCGTTCGTGCCTGAAATAATGCACGGAAGGGAACCTGAGGTCTTCCAACACTAGAAAAGCCTGAACATAACCATATGACCTAAAATGTGCCCGTGTGACGTAAAACCCAATTAAACAAGTTAAAAAAAACAACAGGAAAAATAAATTAAAAAAACTTCTAAAAACGTCCAAGGCTAACAATTCTGATTTTTGACAAGTAGTATAACGTTTCGTGAAATAAGCGTGGATCATTTTAAATAGACTTATCAATCGATATATGTCACATATACAAAAAGCTTAAAGGGTTGATGATTGACAGGGAGCACATACAATATTTCCCTTAAATCAAAAATGCACTAGTGTTTCCAATTTATTCTATCATTATATTGTTTATATTGATTTGAAACATTTCACTTTAGGGCATATATAACGATTTAATATAGATGGATTTTGATCTTACTAATTAAGACTATGCCATGTCGCAAGTGACAGCAACTTTTGATCATTGAAAACCTTGAATATGACTCAGTAACCTATTTCTGTATCAAATACATAAAGATGTTGTCGGGCAACAGTTAGCGAGCTAACACAATCATGACCATATTGTTTCTAATACCTCCTGCATCAATGACCATGTATCGTGTTCCTACTTCAAAGCAAGAAATATCTTTGTCTCTTGCTGCATTGTTTGTTGCTGATATATTTTGATGGCGGCAGTATATCGACGCTGACTCCGGTTCTAAAGCTAAAGTTAATCTTCTGCCTTCTATTCCTGCCTGGAAGATTGAATATATTGTTATTGTCATTGCTTTTTGCAATAATAAAGTGATAATACTGGTCAATATCAACGCTAAAGTTAATCCTATGGATGTTAGCTTGTGTTATAAACATGCAACTATCGCTTTTTTTTATGATTGCAAATATACGCACGAATACAATGCCTTTAAATAGTTAAATAGGATTAAACGATGTTTGATTATTTCCTGAATCTGTTAATGTTAATATTTTTATTCCGATACTTAGAACAATACTTATAGATATTGATATCAGTAACTGGAGACAAGATGTAAATAATAAAAGCTCACTCTCTTTGTTTAAAAAATAAAAAAAATAACTTTGAATTATCTAATTATTCAAATAAAATGTTTTGCACAAAATTGAAACAATACAACAGCTAATCTAAGATTGTCTTCGCACCGTTTACATATAGAGACTGGTAGACATAGAAACATTGTGAGATCGGAAAGAAATTGAACATTTTGCAACCTTAACGAGATAGAAGATGAATACTAATTCAAGTCAATTCAATATTTTATTCGGCAGAAACATATAAATGTTCATCGCCAATATAACATATATACAATGGCGGTACAAATACATAGAGAAAAGCATGAAGTCATATTAATTAAATCAATCAAATTCCGTTGATAATAACAAAACAAAGAGATACTACAGATGATCTATAACATACATAAAATAAATTCATATTTCACAAATAATGCCTGATAGTTTTCGTGCCAAAGATTAGCTTTGTAAACGTACTTTGCAAGTATATTTATAGCATTACTTTGTTTACAATTTAAAAGTGATTTGAATTTAAACTAATTTGGCCAATGACAATAATAATAAGGTAAAATATTAAGTCTAAGTTGTCTGTAAAAAGGACATACTTAGAGGAAATGATACTCATTTTTTATACTATTCATATTACATTTAGTGCATATTCCTTGACTTCTATTAATGTTTCTATATCTCCTTTCTTCAATAGCTAAATTATGAGCAGAAAATCTGAATCTAGCCAAAGCAATTATATAGCTATCATATTTTACACAAGTTAAATATTTTTCTAATTCAAACCTGGATTTCAATAATCAATTAGTATCAAGTTTAGGAGATTCTTTGAGCTCTGAAACCCATTGCTATAGATATTGATCATATATAGTTCTTACTACTATTTGAATTTGTAAGTTAGTGATTTCTGTATTATCCCATAAATAAGAGTATCCTAAATTATTTAGTAATTGTTTGACACTTACAGACCAATTATTCACTTATACTCCATGATCATCACGCATATTAAACACTTTAAAACCTTAAGAATTCGGGGTTTTAACAATTCTGACCCAATATTTTATCAGTCTGATTTTACGACATATAATCATCGGAGATCGTCCAAATTCACCGTAATTCGCAGAACTGGCAGTCTGTTGACAAACTTTCAAAACGTTTTTTTTTTAAATTTTCAAATGAAGTTTTCTATATCTGGTGCTTTATTTCACATCCACAATTCAAAATTGAAGTGATCATGGAATCAAATAACTTAACTTCGTCTTTAATGTCTAGTGATATGGTTTTAAATAGTGAAGTAAGCGTCTAGACAATGACTTTTGTGCCTGGAAAAAACGTCCATTAGCAGACAAAGTAACACCTAGATATGTAAATTTAGTAACAATTTTAAATCTATGATTATCATAAAATATATCAATAGTGTCATGTCTATTACCTTTCTTACATACCACCACTACGGTTTTATCAATATTAACACGGATACCCCAAATGCAACAATTCTGATTTAAGAATTTAGATTATGTAGAAGTTTTTGTAACTCTTCTTATGAATAAGATATTGACACCGTACCATCCGCAAAAAGAAATAAAAAGAGATTCGTCCACCATGAACGAGTCAATAGAGTCGTCATAAAACTATTGATACATATCATTTATAAAGAATAAAAACAACATAGAGAATAATGGTTCGCCTTGTTTAAATACCTTAAAGCTCTCAAAATAATCGATTAACTGTCCATTTACACATACACAAGATTTAACACTTTCATATACAAAAGTGTATTTTCTGTAACATATTAACAAACTTTGTGGAAGCTCCATAAGATAATAATTTATACATATACCATATTCCGTTTCTGTAAACGACATCAAAGGCTTTTCTGAAATCGACAAATGCTAAAGATAGCTTCTTTTTATCATGCAAAATAACTTTATCTATGATTGAAGTTAAAACAAACAAAACAACAACAACAACAATAAAAAGTCAATAGTATTTTTATCTTTTCCAAATTGAAAATCACTAAACATATTATTGTCCTCGGCCCATTTTCGGAGTCTTAAATCTAATAAAGTTGAAAAGATTTTTGAAAAATACTACTTAATGTTTTACCTCTATAATTATTGACATTATTAAGGTCTTTTTTTGGGGGGGTAAGGAAAATAACATCTTTAGTCCAACTATCTGGATAAATACAATAAGTAAACATAATAATATCTTTACACTCAACAAACATCTCGGGGATTAAGCAATCTATTCCATCGCTTTTACCACTCTTTAACATATTTAGAACTTTCAATACTTCACCAAGGCTAAACATAATATCAAGTTGTTCCACATTGATGTTACAATCACTGTTTAATAAATTTTCAGCATCATCATTTGTAAATTCCGTTATCATCAGAAAAAAATAATTTTGAAATGATTGAAAAATTCGTCTTTACTAATTAAAACTACTTTTAGGCGTTTTTGATTTTATTTTTTTAATTACATTCCAAAACCTTTTGGGGCTGAGTAGAAGCCAAAGTATGTAATTGTTGTTTTTGGTTGGCCTTGAAAGTAGCACGTGCCTTGAACTTAGTCAATCGATATTTACGACGCTTTTCAATAAGAAGTTCACAGTTACAAGTGATTCTATTATTTTTATAATGCTTATTTACTGAGCGAAGCTCACGTCTAGCCGTTTCACATTCCTTCGTGTACCAAGGACTCTTAAATTTTCGGTTACTTGACCTAGACACATTGTATGAGCTTAAAAAACTCTATAGGCTCTTTCATAAAAAAATAAAAATTTACACCGTATAAAAGCTCAGTAGATCTAAATAAATATGTAAAAACATTTTGCCGTCGGCCTTAAAATCAAGCATTCTACAGTTTCATTAACCTTATTAACAGTATTGTTGAAAATCTCATCAAATATTGTTCATAAATTAGGATTTTAAACAGAAAACCCCACGGTAACACTAAAGTTCGTATACGAATTTTTACATGCAAATCTGCTACGTCACCGTTTTATAGTTGCTATCCGGAACACAGCAAATAAGATATTTTCTTGTGCAAACACACATTACCGTTTTTGCTTCACGGTGCACTTAGCCTTTGGGTTCAGACAAAAGTAATCATCTTATTAAAAAGATTAAATTTGTATGAAAACACCCGTTACAATGCGGAAATATACCGTTAAAATAGGACTGCTACTTATAGTCATGTTTGTTGATAAAATATTGATGTACGGATAATCCGAGGGCGGAGTTTCTCATGCAAACAGAAATAGTACTGACGATTTTGCCACAATGAGGTTGCCATTTTTATGCTTATAAAACTTATTTTGCTTGACTGGACACCGAAGTCGATATGAAACCCAATTCATTAATGAAATGTCGCTATTTCTGTTTTTATGAAATTTATTAAATGTAGCATCTGAAATGACGCTGTTTACGATTGACTCGAGACTTGTATATTCATTTTCTATCAAAGATTTATATTCAAAGCTTCTATCATCATTCCAAATAATTTTAACAATATTTATGTTGTTTACATTATTCAAAGTTAGATCACTGTTACAACAAATTTTTTTTTTTTTAATGTTAAGCTGTATAGGTAAATGACTAGAGCAGGTATATAAAACATGTTCAATAAAATCACTTATAACGTAGAAAAAATCTTGCGACATTAGAACGTAATCTAACATGCCATTTCCAGTTGACGACATAAAAGTATAACTACCAACACCTGCATCATCACCAATACGGCCATTCACAATGCTTAAGTCGCTGCTTACACAAATATCTAATAACTTCTTACCAGAGCAATTAATCATTTTATCCATAGAAAATCTATAAGGAATATCACTTATACTAACTTCCGATTCATTTTTATCTAAACTTGAAATATACTTATCAAAATTATCAGTACATTCTTAAATTTCAGACCGATCACCACATCTAGCATTAAAGTCCCAAATTACTGAATTACTGACACTTTTCCATCTTCACTTTATTTACGAATATACTGTTAAAAAAACCCTACTTTATGTGACATAAAATGCACAGAATTACAAGGAGGGATATATAAAAATCATATAAATAAATCATAATCAAAACCAAAAAAAAATGTTTTATCGAGTTTGGCCCATATAAAACCAGTGTTATCACATTCTACAAAAGAAATACCGTTATTCAATCGCTCTTTAAAAAGAAGGCACATTCCACCGTGCCCGCGTTTAGATTTAATACATTCAGGTCTGTATACATAACCAGAATCATATCCTTTCAAAGAAAAAACTTCGGCATTCTTTTGCCATGTTTCACTTATAAAAATGATATCAACATTTTGGACCAAGTCTAAAAAGTCTTCATCATCTATGCAAGCATTTAATCCTCCCACATTCAATGATGCCATTTTCAAATTGTCACACTTTTCTGTGTCCCCCTCTTTAGAACCATACAATTCATTTTGTATTAATTTGTCGTACTTATTCTGATTTAAGCAAATTGTATATACCACGTTATTACAATAGGCATCCCAGTATGGTTAAATTTATTGATCTGTTAAATACATGTAATACAAATACTAGTATGATAATACCAAATGTTAAATTTGTATGTTTGTATTAAATTTTTCACTCTCGCTGTATTTAATGTATGCTGTATATTTGTGAGGAACTGTTATGTTCAAATCATATTGAACATATGAATATCATATTCAAAAC